TCCTATTCAACTGGATCGGATTCTGGACCTTACTGCGCTACAAGTGGTGACTTTAACAACGATAAACGACCAGATATTGCCGTCGCCAATTATAGAATAAGTACTATAATTATATTTCTTGCCAATGGCAATGGAACTTTCTCATCTCCGACTTCTTATTCAACTGGCAGTAACTCTGGGCCATTTAAAATCGTCACTGGTAATTTGAATAACGACACATGGACAGATATTGTTGTTACTAACTATTTGGGTAATAATATAGGTATATTTCTTGGGTATGGTGATGGAACTTTCTCCACACAAACAACTTATTCAACTGGCAGTAACTCACAACCAAATTCAGTAGTCATTCGGGATATTAATAACGATAAACAACAAGACATTGTTGTTACTACATATAATACTAGTAGTATCTCTGTTTTTCTTAGTTATGGCAATGGAACATTCGCGAGCCCAACAACCTTTTCAACTGGAAATAATTCTGGTCCAAAGCTGTTCACTTTTGCCGAATTAAACGGAGATAATCTAGTTGATATTGTCGTCGCTGATTATGATGCTAACAATATACGTATTTTATATGGTTATGGTAACGGCAGTTTTTCACTGGAAAGTACTTTGCCAACGGGCAACAATTCTGCACCAAGAGATGTTACTACCGTTGATATCGATAAAGATGGTCATCTCGATATTGTTTGTGCCAACTATAATGGTGGCAGTGTCGGCATTTTTTTTGGCTATGGTAAAGGAAATTTTTCTACACAAAAACTTTATTCACTTGGAAATGGTTCGTACCCATATTCGGTCATCGTTAGTGATTTAAATAATGATGGTCAATCCGATATTATTGTCCCAAATTCGGGTATTGGTAATGTGGTCATTCTGAGTGGATATGATAATGGTACGTTTACAAGTCAACAGACCTATCCAACCAAAGGTCTTTCTAATCCACATACTATCGCTGTTGGAGATGTTAACAACGACAATCGATTGGATGTTATCGTCGTCAATTATTGGAGTAACAATGTAGAAATTTTTCTCGGATTTAGTAATGGTACATTTTCAAGTAACGCGAGTTATAAAACTGGAACATCTTCTAACCCATACTCGGTTGCTGTTGGTCATTTTAACGATGATAAATGGTTAGATATAGTCGTTGCTAATTATGGGTCAAACAGTATAGGTATATTTCTTGGATATGGTAATGCGACGTTTTCAAGTCAAACAACTTATTCAACTGGCAATAGCTCTCAACCGTATGCTGTTGCTATTGCTGATTTTAATAATGATAAACGATTGGACATTGTCGTTGCTAACTACGGAACAAACAATTTAGGTATATTTTATGGAAATGGTAATGGCACATTTTCAAGTCAACAAACCATGTCGACCGGTCCGTTTTCTTCACCACGATATGTCGTTGTTGGTGATTTTAACAATGACAGTCGATGGGATATTGCTGTCATCAATTATGGCCCAGACAGTTTAGGAATTTTCCTTGGATACGACAATGGCACTTTTTCAGCTCAAACAACCTATTCTACTGGATTAGGTGCTGGTCCCTATAGTGCTGCTGTCGGTGATCTGAATAATGACGGTATACAAGATATAATCGTTACTGTGTACTATCCTCGCGCTGTAATTATTTTTCTCGGATATGGAAACGGAACATTTGCCAAGACAGCAAGCTATTCAACTGGCTCTGGGTCTCGGCCACTTACGATTGCTATTGGAGACTTGAATAATGACAATCGAATGGACATCGTTGTTGGTAATTGTTACACTGACAATGTTGTCATTTTTGTCGGAGTTGGCGAAGGAAAATTTTCCTATGACAATAGTTATGCCGCCGATAAAAACGCTTGTCCATCTTCCATCGTTCTTGGTGATTTTAATAATGATACTATAATGGATATTGTCGTCGCAAACTATGGTACTAATGTAATAGGTGTTTTTCTTGGAACTACTTACATAACTGGCATACGTGGACATACATATACAACTGGATCTTCTCCGCATCCGCAAGGTGTTGCCATTGATGATTTTAATAAAGATGATCAATTAGATATAATTATCGTTAATCATGGATTGGGTAATGTAGGAGTACTTCTAGGACATTCGAATGGAACATTTCCATTGCAAACAATGTTTTCAGTCGGTGATTTATCTTATCCAACATCGGTTGTCATTGCTGATGTGAATAACGATACTGAATTAGATATTATTGTCGCTAACTCTGCCAACGAAAGCATAGGTATTCTTTATGGATATGGAAATGGTAGTTTTGCGAATGTAGAGATATTTGCAACTGGATCCGGTACTATTCCACAGTCGATCGTCGTTGACGATTTTAATAATGATAAGAAACTTGATATTGTCGTCACTAGTACTGGTATTGACAGTGTATTTACATTTTTGAGATATGATCCTGGTGCATTTAGAAGTCAAATATCGTATTCAACTGGAATTAATTCTGTTCCAGTATTTGTGACTACAGGTGATTTCAACAGAGATGGCCGATTAGATTTTGCTGTCGCCAATTCTGGCACCGGTAGTATAGGTGTTTTTATAGGGCTGGGTAATAACACTTTTTCCAGTCAAACGACATACTCGATTGGCAGTCGAGCGAATCCACAGTCAATTATTAATGCTGATTTAAATAAAGACACTTGCTTGGATCTCGTTGTCTGCAATTTGTGGAGTAATGATATAAGTATTTTTCTTGGACGTTGTGATGGCACATTTTTAAATCAAACAAACTATCAAACTGGGAGTGGTTCTGGACCATATAATGCCGCTGTTGGTGATTTTAACAATGATACTCAATTGGATATTGTTGTCATCCTTATTTTCACTCGCCAAATAGGTTTTTTTTATGGATATAGGAATGGTACCTTCTCGAATGTAACCATATTTTCAATTGAATCTGATTCATCTTCAATAGCGATTGCTGTTGCTGATCTTAACTATGACAGTCGATTAGATATTGCTGTGGCTTATTTTTCAAGTGGCTATGTTAGTATTTTCTATGGATTTGGTAATGGTACGTTTTCTAAATCAATCATATATTCGACTGGCACTAATTCACTTCCATCAATGATCGTTATCTATGACTTAAACAAGGATGGTCGACTAGACATTGTTGTCGCTAATGCAGGAACAGATAATGTGGGTATATTGTATGGAAATAATAATGGTACATTTTCCAATATGATAGCACTTCCAACAGGTAGTGGTTCTAGTCCATCTGCAGTCGCCATTGTTGATATTAATAATGATGCGCAACTGGATATTGTCGTTGCCAATTATGGCAACAATCAATTAGGTGTTCTTCTCGGATGTGTCAATGGCACCTTTTTCAGTCAATTGACCTATTCGACGGGCGATTATTCTGAGCCATGTCATCTTGCTGTCGGCGATTTCAATAACGACAATCGAATGGATGTTGTCGTTGTCAATTCAGGCAGTGATAGTTTAGGTGTGTTTTTTGGGTATGTTAGCGATAGTTTCTTAAGTGCACCATCTTATTTGAGTAAAACTTCTTCTCATCCAACTTCTATTGCTCGTGCAGATTTCAACAATGATACTCAAATGGATGTCGTTGTCACTAATAATGGCGCGGATAATATAATGATACTATTTGGATCAGGTTATGGCACTTTTATCAGTCAAATTACCTATTCAACTGGCGTGAATTCTCAACCATCATCAGTAGCTGTTGAAGATCTTAATAAAGATGGTCGATTGGATATTGTCGTCACTAATTCAGGTACCAATAATATTGTTGTTTTTCTTGGTAATAATATAAGCAGCTTTTCGAATCCAATGACTTACTCTACTGGTCTTCGTTCTCAACCAAACGCAGTAGCTATTGTGGATTTCGACAATGATGGTCAACTGGATATTGCCGTAGCTAGTTACGGTGCGAACAGTATGAGTGTATTTTTAGGTTATGGCAATGGTAGTTTTATGAATCAATTAATATTTCCTACTGGTTTTGGTTCACATCCGATTGCACTCGCTACCGGTGATATCAACAAAGATAAACTGACCGATATTGTCGCCGTTAATGATGGTTATGGTAATATAGATATTCTTATGAAGACATGTTAATATGTGTCCTCTCACTTGTCTTTTTGCGCCTTTTCAATTCCTTTTGATTCTCTTTCATTTTTTGTTGTTCTGAGTCATAGAGAAGGCGTTAGCAGCGGTAGATATATACTGTTGTGTCTTGTGTGTGTGTGTGTGTGTGTGTGTGTGTGTGTGTGTGTGTGTGTGT